CGGCCAATGACTCTGCAATCAGATCAGCCAACTTCCTTAGCACTCTTGGGTGCATCCCATCTGGCCCCATGGACTTGTACACATCCAGCTTTTCTAAGCAGTCCCTAATCTGTTTTTTCAGCACTGGGGGATACTCACTTCCTCCCCAAACGGTGCTGCCTGGTGCAGTAGTCTGGGAGCTGACCCTGCCTGTGAAGACGGGCAAAAAAGGCATTGAGCACTTCAACCTTTTCTGCATCCTGTCACAAAGTTGCCTCCCCGATTTGTTAAGAAAGCCACACCTTCCCTGATCCTCCTCTTGCTACCAACATACCTATAGTAACCCTTCTTGTTATCCTTCACATCCCTTGCTAGCTGGAACTCCTATTGCGCTTTGGCCTTCCTGACTTTATCCTTGCATGCCTGAGCAATGCTCTTATATTCTTCCCTAGTTATTTGTCCAAGTTTCCACTTCTGATAAGCTTTTTTTTTTTGTTTGCAATTTAGTATAAATGAAGAGTTCCCTACTAAGCTAAGCTGGTCTTCTGCCATACTTCCCACATAAAAACCACTCACCCTTTTATCTCAAAATGAAATGAAGGTTTTCATTTCAGTAAGTTTTACAATTCAAGGCTCTTCTGTGAGTTTTATTCTCTGTTTCACTTTTATATTATTCTTATATTAGTTTAAGGCATCAACAGTAGGAGTGCATCATGTGACCCAATAGACACAATATTCTATTTATTTTTAAAAACTTATTAGGGGAAGCTGCTACTTGGTACTGTTTGAAACATCTTGTTTCTCCTATTTGCATGATGTAGTTTGATGCCAATACAAAAACACCTGGCTCTGGAAGTAGAGTTGACATCATCATGTAGGACTGCTTCTCACATCATCAGCTTACTGAGTGGGACAATACCCAAGCCAGCCAGTAGAAAATGCTGCATCTCTCCTAGATTTAAGATGCACCTACCTTGATTCTGGCCTCTGCTCCAAAGACTGTTTATAAATTGTACATTAGAGAGCTGCAGGGTAAAATATATAAACAGTCTAGGAAGAAGGAAGTTAAAGCCAGGACTCTCCCCTCTTTCAAGGAAGTGCCCTTATCAGGTCATGCTTCTTTTTGCTCAGTCTTTCTCTGACTGAAGAGTCATGCACCCTTGGCTATAGACAGCTCAGCATCAGCACTAAGGGTTGACAATGCTTCCAGCCCAGTTTAACCTGCAGCCTGAGTAATCTTCTAGTGGATGGGAAATGCAAGTCTGAACCTTCTCAGGATGAAGAGGGTCTGGAACACAGGTCTCCTACTCTTTGGTCAAATACTCTAACCACTAGTATATATAAAAAGTCACCAGCACCACTTCCTGCTTCTCTTCCTCTGACCAAGTTTTTGAATAAAAAGAGCCATGGGTGCTAAACTCAGTTCTGTCAGGTGATGTTAGGCATGCCTCAAGCACACCTATCATTGGGGACTTAGACCCCTGGACACTTAAGTCTGTGAATCATAATGAGCTTTAGGTTTGAAATAAACCAAGATGGTAGCACTGCTGGGCACTCACAGTAGCTGAACTGGAGATACATAAATAGGGCTTTTTGGAAGGTTTTAGGGGCCTAGAGAATCTCAGCACCTGGTGTCTAGAACTGATGGGTCTAAGTGTTGCCTGAATCCCATTTTAGGTGCCTAAGCTGTTTTTGTGAGTCTCACCTACACTTTTTCACTGAAATACAAAGGAGATACTTTGTTATCAGGGCTAGATGAACTATGAAATGTATACTTCACAGGAAGTTTTCAAAGGGTTTTTGTTTGCTTTGATTCAGGTCTGAGTTCCAATGTTTGGCTCAATAGTGATCTTCATTAGCCATGAGAAGCAATCATAGGGGAAGCTCTAACTCTGCTGCTATGCCCTCAGCTGAAGCAGTACATATGCAGGCTGGCAAACACAAGAGTTATGAGATGATGGAATGTAGTCTGACTCAAACAGAAGTCTTAAATAATTGACCTGCCAAACTCTAACAAGACTCAATTGAACACGTATGAACTGAGATTTTCAGGGGTACGGAACTACTCAAATTGGTATGAACTTTCACAGAGATGGCAAAATGCCCTTTCTGCTACAAATCTTTAAGGCCCAAGAACTTCTCAACTATATGGTCATCATTTTTTTTTAAAGTAGAGGCAAAACAATGCGATTTTTCCAAACTTTGTTCCAAGAAATGCTAAACCATTCTGTTTTGAGTTTTAAAATGAAAAGAAACCTGATATGGAAAAAATTAGCTCAAACAGCATACAAAATTATAAAACTAGTGAAAACACAATCTAAAATACTCTCTTTCTGCAGCAATTCATATAGACATACTTGGTACCAACAACAGTGTAGCCACAGTAGCACAGAGCTCAGGATAGGTTAGCTGTTTATCCAGTATCGCAGCTTGAACTGCAGCCCACGTTGAACCTTGTATTGCTGCAGCCAACTATTCCTGGTACCAAAATTATTTACATTTAGTTCATGTGCATACAACCTGCAATCACACCTAGGAAGTACAGTGAAAACTTTGCCCCAGTGGAAACCTGTTAGGCAACCTTAACTATAGGTGGGGAGCAGGGCAGCAGGAGCAACCCCTAGGGAGCACACATTACTGCCTGTTGCTCAGCAGCAGCACTCAGCTGCTGCCACTCAAGTGAAAAGACCCAGGTCAGGTAAGACTCCTCTCCCTTTCCACCCCCCTCCAGTTGCCAGCATCATTCCTGCCTCCTAGTGCTGACAAAATTTGGTACACCTCTTCTTGGGGAGAGAGTAGAGTGACAGCAGGGGGTCTCTGCTCAGGACAGTTTCACTCAGAAGTTGTTTGCTGTGGTCAAGCAGATAGGCTAAGCCTGACAGGTCACAAATCCCCTTGCAACCTGGCAAGGGCTGTGTAGCAACAGCTGCTTTATTTACCCTTTTGCAACCATGGTCAAATTGAGGCTTTTACAACCAGGATCTACATGCAGATCCCAGCACCTGTGAGAGGGTTAATGGAAAGGGGGACAGACGAGGCTAATATGAGGACCCAGCCTGGCTCTCCACTGGGCTTCCCCAAGGACTACAGACTCACAGGCTGTGATATATAAAATTCTACCAGACCCCCTCACCCCATTCTGCTGTCAGCACAACCTCCTCCCCACTGCTGCTGTGCCTAGGTCACAGAAATAACTAGTTATGCCACTGGAACATTGATTCTCAACTGGGTGCCAGAATCAGGAAAGATATGGTGGAGTAACTTGAGTCTGAAAAAGGTTTTATATAGGTATTAAAGAGTAGTTAGCAAACCACTTTTTTCAAAGGTGTAGAAGTTTCTTTTCCATTGTTTTTATAGAGGTTACATTGTTCAAAATGGTAACATCTATAATATGAGCCAAATATGTATTTAATAGCAACTTTACACATGGATGCTGGTCTCATTGATTGTTCTAATTTAATCTACTGCATTCAAAATCAAATTCCAAATATGGACTCTGGCATTTTGTAAGAAAAAAATATTAAATGAGATGATATATTGTTAATTATCATAATGCAGTAAGACAGGGGTTCTCAAAACTTTGCGATACCATGACCCCCCAGCAGCCAATCAATGAGAGGGGGTGTCCCCCATGTGCCCGCGTGGTGGTGAAAGCGGAAGCACCAGTGGTGTGCAGGTTTGCAACCCCTTTTTAAGTTGCTTGTGGTCTCTGGTGGGGGGGGGGGCAGGATCGCGACCCATGGTTTGAGAACCCTGCTGTATAACTTAAGTTCAAGGAATAAGATATGCATAATTTGCTCAGCGAGATTTAAAAATCCTGGGTATTTTGCTCAAATTTTAGTGGAAATTACTGGAAGATTTTATTTGTACTAATGAAAATTTCTGAAATATTTCTTCATTTAAACTGACACCATATGAATTATTGGTATGCATGAGCTACTAATATTCACAACGTTGCTTTTGTTCACTCTTTTTCCTAAGGATAAAATGTTACATTTAAATGATGCTCCTTCTTTGTAACTTTGCCTATATTCGTATGTATGGCAAACAAATGCTGCTCAGTGGACTTTGAAACTCACAGCTGTAGCACATCTGGTCTAATTTTTTTATACTTTCAAATAGTATAAATAAAAGTAACTCAAGTGAAATAAATAGCTTTGCAGCAGATAAACAAGAGAACAAGGTCCTCTGAGTCCATGCACAAACCTGTGCTAGTTGCATTACAAGCAATGCCTAGAGGCTGGGAGGTTTACAACTTTATGCTTTCCCCCTAACGTGGTTTGGAAAATACAGGTATGGCAGCTACACTAATAGAGCGGATCCTAATGACATTGTTTCTTGAGAATTTCATAATACAACACTTGAAGTTAATAGAGAAGGGACTGGGTGCTAGTGCTTTCCCCTCACCCACTTTATGGACCCCAAATTCTAGCATTCCATCAAAAAGTATGATGATACCCACCTGCTATAAATCATATTTTAAAATAGACAGAAATTGGAGTAGTGTGTAAAAAATAGTTAAAAATAAAGTGTTTAAAAAACCTGGGCACTCTTGAGGTAAACTGAACTTATCCTTAACACAGTTGCTAATATATCATTTTTATAGGCCACAGTTTAACTGCAGACTGCACACAGCTATGTACATACTGGAAAGTCTATTGGCAGAAGCAGAGACACTAGCAGGGAATTAAAAGTTTTCTTCCCAATTCTGGGAAATCTACAGAAATGACTCCATCAATGGTAACAATACTTGGAGCAGTCATATAGTGTTCTAGACTGTTGGGAAGAAGAAACCCACTTTTTCTCCTGAAACTCTTAATCTAAACAACTTACAAACCTGGTTGATTTTGCTGAAAGTTCTGCCCTTTTTGGAAAGATTGTTTCCAATGTCTTTATGACTTTATTCCAGCTTTCCATGAATGGGTGTAAGCAAATAAACATGCTTAACAGAGATTGGTCCAACTTCTCTTTCAGCTCCTAAAACAGGAAAAAAATAAAGATTTTTAAAACAGAAAGCAACTGTTCATTAGATATTCTAGAAAAGGAGATCTAGAATTGTAAATATTTAATTCAAACAAGAATTATAAATTATTTATTTTGTATACTAAACACCCATATGAAGTACAATGCAACAAAACTGCTACTTGCATTGAAGACATTAGCGAAGTAGTCTTATTAAAGATAATGATATAAATTATCAGCTCGTGTAAATTGTTTAATGAAATGTCAAAAGTGTTTTAGTGTGACACAAGTGTCAGCAGACTCCTTAGCGTAACATTGTGCTCAGTATTATAACAGGCAATTACTTCCTACCTTGGAATTTGTTACTTCACATCAAATATCATCTCTTGAAAAAATGTAGCAGATCCACATGACAAACTAAAGGAATATGCTGTGTCCCACTAAACCTAACAAATGGGTTAACCTAAGACTAGACTAAATAAGAAAGAAAAAAAACTAAATAAATGAATGCAAATAAGAGTGGCAAGTTTTGATCACTGTTATACATGAAGGTCATTTTCCTGATTGCTCGAGTAGGACATGCTTAGAAAAATAATTATGCATTTGAAAATTTGTAATGGGAGTGCAACAGTCACTTGTATATGGAAACAGAAATATAACACTATGAATAATGAATAGGAATACAATAAGCTAATTGGAAAAAGTAACATTTATTTACATGGGAAGTTATACTGATACAGCCATAGTTTTGTAATTTCGCTGGCAGATATCCCTGTATAGACAATAGGGCTGTGTGAAACAGCACCATTCTGCTTCAACTTCCATTTTGATGGAACAAAGTTTCTTTTCAAAAGCACTGTTCCATTTCCTTTTGTCAAAACTGTTTTGCTGTTTCAACATTTCGCCCATAGGCTATAATGGGGAAGCACAAAACTGCGTATAACTTTGACATTTCTTACTTGATTTGGATTAAACTTGCAGGGATGGTAGGCCCTTCTGAGGACATGAAGCCTGCCAAGTTTCAAAGAGATAGGTGCAGAAGTTTCTGGGAAACTGCACCTCAAGTTGTAGAAAACTAGGAGCCAGGGACCAAGAGCAGCCTCTTGTGATCTGACAGGCAGATCAGGGGCCCCGAGGGCTGTGCGGGCTCTGCCAGACTCCTCCCGAGGGTGCGGGTGGGCCCCGATCTACCTGCCGGATGACAGAAGGCTGTTCCTGCCACCCAGGACCAGCAGCGCACTCAGTGCCAGTCCCAGGCAGCAGAAGCAGTGTCCTGTGATCCAGCAAGCAGATCAAGGGCCCACACCCCCAGGAGGAGTCTGGCAGAGCCCTGCAGCCCTCCCGGGGGTGTGGGTGGGAGGCTGCCACTGCTGCCTGGGACCCGCACTGGGTGCAGCTCGCACCCAGTGTGGCTTTATGGAGCTGAGCCTGGTTGAGGGAAGGGGAGCGCAGCCCTGGTGCTGTGTTCTGATTCTCCCCACCGGGCTCAGTTCCACGGGGCTGGCGCTGCTGGGAGCTGAGCCCGGTGGAGGGAGGCAGGGTGCAGTCCCAGTGTTGCACTCTGATTCCCTACACCGGGCTCAGTTCTACAGAGCTGTGAGCCACTGGGAGATGAGCCTGGTGGAGGGAGGCAGAGCCGGCTCTGCCTGCCTCCTGCCATTGGGCTGAGCTCCATGGGGCTGGCAGAACCAAGTGGAGCGCAGCCCAGCAGTGGGAGGTGGGCAGAGCCAGTGCTGCATTCTGATTGGTTCTGCCTCCCTCCAGCTCCCAGTGGCTCACAGCCTCATGGAACTAAGCTTGGTGGGGGGAATTGGAGTGCAGCGCCGGGGCCGTGCTCTGCCTCCCTTCACTGGGCTCACCTCCTAGTGGCTTGCAGCCCTGTGGAACTCAGTCTGGTGGCAAGAGGCAGCGCGCATGGCTGGCTCTGCCCATCTTCCGCCACCAAGCTGAGCTCCATGGGGCTGGCGGGGTCGACTGGACCCTGGCAGCAGGATGCAGGCAGAGCCAGAGCTGTGCTCTGATTGGCTCTGCCAGCCTCTGCCAGGCTCAGCTTCCAATGGCAGGAGGTGGGGAGAGCCAGGGGTGCGCTCCCCACCAGGCTGAGCCACATGGGGCTGTGGAACCACTTGGAGCACAGCCCTGGTTCTCCTCTGCCTCCCATCACCTAGCTGCTTCAAAATTTGAAACATTTTGACTGCCCTCTTCATTTCAAGCCTGTTTCGAAGCCCTTCATTTTAATTTCACTGTTTCGAGCTCATAACGAGTCAAAACAGCATTGAAAAGAAACAGCTGGTGAAGCTTCACACAGCCCTAGTAGACAAGCACCAAGTGAGAAAAGACTTAGTACAGCCATGTATTTTTAGTAAGTGTTTTTTATAATTACATTTTAATTATACAGAATAAAATTGGTTGACCAGGTATGCGCACATGCACTTATATGCAGAACTCTTTGGTATAGCTCTAGAACTTAAATAGGCATGAGGATGAAGGGTCATCAGACTGATAGCAAGAGACCTCTAATTTCTGCTGCTTGCAGTGCTATCAGTGTCCTGAGATAACATAGGCATTCTAGAGGCTTGTCTATACTTAAAAACATTTAACCGCATAGCTAAACTGGCAGAATTCTTTGACCAGTATAGCTTAAACCTGTTCCCTATATAGAGTAGTCTGTACTGGTAAGAGATCTTTTTCCGGTATAACTGAGGTTATGGAAACACAACATGATTACTGAGAAGTCATTTACTCTGGGTTTTCCTCTGTAGTTAGGAGTACTCCCAAGCTGGTTGCTCACAACACCTGGCTAAAAGGTGGCAGGGAGTTTGTTTACACCGGTGGTGGGATATTATTTTGGCTGGAGGGCCACTTAACGAGTTTTGGTGAGCTGTTGAGGGCTACCAACCCATCCCTTGACAAACACCCAGCCCCCTGGTTGCCATCTTGAGACCTGAAGTCCCACCCTTACCCCCTGACCTTTGCCACAATAAATCCCTCCCCTTGCCTGCAAAGTACTCCTTTTGGGAGGGGAGGTTGCCATTTTGAAACTGGAACTCCGCCCCCCCCGAATCATAAACTAAAAGAGAGTCAAACATCTACTATAAATTATTTTAATTTTGTTTAAAAAATAATTTTGTCCTGATTTATGTATGTTTGCAGCATATCTAGAGGCAATTGCATAATAGCTCAAAATACAGGCTTACTTTTGTATATTGTATGTGGGGGATAAGGGGTGTATGTGGGAGGTGTGTGCTTGGAGAGTGGGTGTGTGTGTGGGGAGGGTGGACGTGGGGTATGTTGTTGGGGTGGGGGAGGTGTGGGAGAGTGTGGGTGCATATAGGTATATAGTAAGGGTGGAAGGGTGTGGGAATGTCTGTGGGAGGGTGGGAGTATGTGTGGTGGGGGGCAGTCCTCAGAGTTCCTGGAGTGTGCAAGTCCCTGGAGCTGGATGTGGTGGCAGTGAGCAGGTCCAGCCGCATCTGGCCGAACAGCACTCCTGTCCAGGTCCCTGGCCGCATGTGGTGGCAGGGTGTGGGGCTAGCCCTACCCAACCCCATAGTGTGCAGCTCCCATGCTCCCACCCCAATCCCCAACTACAGGTGGCAGTAGCATGTGGGGCCAGCCCAACATGACTCCATAACACGCAACTCCCTATACTTGCACCCAAGTCCCTGACTGTGCATGCGTGCAGGCCCAGCCTGATCCAGCCCCATAGCGCTCCTGTACTCCTGCAAGGTGTGGGGCCAGCCCAGCCCCATAGTGCATAGCTCCTTGCACTTCTACCCCTTTCCCCTAGTGAGAGTCCCTAGCCCCAGCCTGGTGGGGTCTTTACCTGCATTCCTAGGCTCGCAGGCTGGAAACAGTCTTGGGGCAACCTGGCACAAGCTCTGGCAGACAGAGCCTTGTCCCCAGTGCCCTCTGGCTCGAGGCTAGGGCAGGTCAGGCCAGGTTGGTGTGCGGGGTGGTTGCTTAGCAACCAGACCTGTACTTCCTGCATGGAGGGGCCGGCTTGCAGAGGGGCAGTGAGGGCCAGGGGTTACAGAGGGCTTATGGAGGGACCCTATGGGCCAGATGGAATTGCCTGGTAGGCCAGATCGAGCCTGCGGGCCATATTTTGCCCACCCCAGTTTACACAGAGTAAAAGGAAACCCTGGGATAAAGCTGACTAAGGCAGGGGTTGGCAACCTACAGCCCATGAGCCAGTTCTAGCCTGTGGAACTACTGGATCCAGCCCACAGAAGTAGGGTTTGGTGGCATTTGGCAGCAGGGGGCTTTGACACTCTCCCCAGAGACAAGCAGTGGTGATGGCCAGGCCATAGTGCCCACACTACTCTAACCCAGGGTGTATCATTCCACCCCGCAGCTGGAAAAAGGTGGCTGCACAGATTAACTCACTATAGTTACTCCTCACTTCAAGGGGTGACTTTACCCAAGAGTGGAGTGACTTGCATTGGTGAAAGCTGTGCACTATGCATGTATTCCACTTTTACTATGGAGTAAGGTCAATTTTCTCCACAGTAACCACATCAGGTGCCTATACAAAGTACCTGAATTAGGGTTTTTGCTGGAATAACCATATTGGGTAGGAACATGGGCAGATCAAAGACTTTGAAAAAGCGGGGTGCGGGAGATGCCTCTTGTGCTGCAGGGGAGGTCACAGCTGCACCTCACACTGTGGGCAGACCACACTGTGGCAGCAGCTGCCAGGGGAAGCAGGTAAGACTTCTCTCCACTGCTTTTGGCACCCCTCCAAGGGCAGACCCAGAGGTAGTGCAGTGGCACAGCTGCACCCCACTTTTGGACTTGATCATACTGCTGGAGCCTCTGGGGACTTTAAAAGAAGTCCTCCACAAGGAAGGGAATCCCGCCTCCCCCTTCACGTTCAAAGCATGTCAAATCCCATTCCCTCCCCTCCTTCCCCCTTCCCTCCCGTCACCCTCCACCTGCCCTGGCTGCTTTCCTCACTATCCTGGGAGCAGGGGAATCTTCACTGCTGCTTTGGTCCACCCCAGTTGTATTGT